TTCTGATGCAGGTTCTCTAATGCATTCTCATATTATGGTGTGGTTTTGCTGACCACTGAGCTTTTCCAGGAGGGAGGCGCCTGTGGTAGTGAGTGAAAGCTTTTGTGTGTTTAAAAAACAGACCGGAGCATAGTGCGAGAATGTAAGGACTATGTATAGAATAGAATACCACAATTATTCAATACTGTACAGTATAACCTGTATACTGCCTAATGTTTTTTAAAAAATAGTATGTAAACCAGTGTGTTTAATATCATTTCAAACTATAGAGTGGTAGAATGCTAACGATACACAACCAATGGATTCTGTGCGCATATATTGGTCGTGTGTCTCCCCCTAGGGGCGAAGGGCAGTAAAAGGGAGCCAAGTTGCAGTTTGGAGTGCAAATATCTGAATTCAGATGATTACAAAGACCTTCTGTGGACCACACTTTCTGAGTTTCCTGGTATATATTTGAATTATAATGCCATTAAAGGAATAGCTCATTCAAAAATGAAAATGCACTCACTCTAAGGCTATTCTGAACCCTGAATTTTGAATTATTCAGACACCAGATATCATTTTTGATATCTTTTTACTAGTGGGTGCAGGACACTATAGTTCATTTATGTAAGTGAGGATAGCAAAATAAAGTAAACTGTGACATATTATACCCAAAAATTGGACTACCAGTAAAATTTATAAAAATTTGACACTTTGACCTTACCATGTTTTGCTTAAGTGTTTTTCTTTAATTGCTAATGTGACCTTTTTCACCACAGACTGAACAAAATTAAGCATTGCTTGGTAATTGGTTGACCTAAATCGGTATTATCTAATTGTGTACTGACAGCTATTCAACCTAATCCATTACATATACCTTCACTGTAAAAAAAATTCCATAAAATTTACGGTAAAAAACCGGCGGCTGTGGTTGCTGGAATTTTACCGTAAAAAATACGGTAGCATCGTTTTAGGTTTTACGGTTTTAACTTAAATTTACAGTCACAAGCAGCGGGGGCGTCCCGGGGCTCGAAATGCGCAGGGTAGGAGGGGGTAGTGATGCTGGGTGTAACTAATAAGGTGCCATTGTCCGGTGAGGTCCGGTTGGGGAGTTACAGAACGATCTCATATCGCATAATCTTATTAACTGTTTATCTCCTGAACGGCATCTTTCTTTACCACGCTATTCAGCGCCAATCCCGCAGTGCAGTCAATTTCACTGGTTAAGGTTAGGGTAGTCTTTTACCGTTAAATTCACGGTCATTTTTTACAGTGTAATTTCTGTCAACGTTATCTGACATTATCAAGATGAATTTGTTCTGACACAGTTTAACTGTGTTCTTGTCGTATTTTATTACCATTTTACTATTCGCTAACTATAGCGAATAAACTGTGATACTGTGAGAAACGTTGAATGTGCCTGAATAAATTTTGGTTTGACTGTAAATTAAGCATTACATCACTTGCTCACCAATGGATCCTCTGCAGTGAATGGGTGCCGTCAGAATGAAAGCTGAAACAGATGATAAAAGCATCACAATAATCCACAAGTAATTCACACCACTCAAGTTCATCAAATAATGTCTTGTGAAGTGAATAGCTTGTTTGTAAGAAACAAATTCATCATTAGGATGTTCTTAACTTCAAACTGTTGCTTCCAGCTAAAACATGAGTCCCCTATCCATAATAATGATAGCTCCAGAAAAAAAGTAATCTTGTCTGAATCAGGAAGGAAATATGCACAAATTATGCACCAAAAACAGTCCAAAACAATTCTAAACAAATGTCAGTGGATTTTGAGATAGACTAGAGTCGTGTGGATTATTGTGATGTTTTTATCAGCTGTTTGGACTCTCATTCTGACGGCACCCATTCACTGCAGAGGATCCGTTGGTGAGCTAAATGCTAAATCTCTTCAAATCTGTTCCAATGAAGAAACAAACTCATCTACATTTTGAAGTTTCAGCAAATGTTCATTTTCTGAGTGAACTATTCCTTTAACATCTAATTTTTTTTAAATAAGTTATGGCAGGCATAAAGAAAATGTGGCAAATGTATTGATTGATGCATCACAGGCCTGCTGGTGACCCTGTGGGCGATTGATCGATTAGGGAGGAGGATGACTATGGCATTGTGTTTCTTTGTCTTCTCCCTCTGCATTGTGCCACTCTACGGCTGTGTGGGAAGGTCAGAAGCACTTCTATCACTGTCATTTTTCTAGTGCATTCAAGCCTGTGGTAATCACATTTGTGAACATACTGTGAATAACTACATTGCCTATATTGCAGGACGTCTTTGACAGTATTTATATTCATTGCGAGGGCTTTTATCGCTGGAGGTTTCCAGGCTGCATATGTGTACACCCCTGAGGTGAGAACTCTTTTTCAATTAATTTCAGTTGATATAGAATTATTTTGTGGAAGAACTGAGGCTCAAAGGGAAGCTCTATCCTTCTTTGCCCTGTCAAAGGAATATGTAATTGAACATTTGACACTCTTGGCAGATAAACTGTATGGAGAGTAAAGCCTGTAGACTGTCAGTGTAGTGTTAAATGTTTTGCTCAAGGCAACAGCTGTGCTGGAGAAGGATTTTGACCTTGGGAAACGTCCAATTCCTGGCTCACTCCCACCACTTGGCAGCCATTGCAACAGCTCACCTGACATAAAACAGGCTGCTTTGTCATCCTACTTTTCATGAACCACTGGAGTTCATCTCCTGAAACAGGACTGAAGGGTTGAATATTACATAGAGTGTCTGTAGGTTGCTTAAGAACGTAGTTACTGACTGTATATTACCTAAAGGAGCGAAGCAGTTTACCTAACTACATTAATCTCTGTCAGTGATATTTAACTGATTTTGAAAGTGTTTACAGCATAACAGCATTCTGAAGAAACTTTAGTGAAGTAATAGGTCCATGTAGGTCATATAGATACATTCACTAACCACCCTGTGGTTAAGAAACAGTTCAATGTTCACACTGAGAAGATCTTTGTTATAACTCACTCAGTATTTCTTTTGCAGGTGTATCCCACAGCCACGAGGGCACTGGGTTTGGGCACCAGTAGTGGGATGGCTCGGGTTGGAGCTCTCATCACACCATTTGTGGCACAGGTGTGGAAATAATAACAAATAAAAGACATAAAATACAGAATAATGTAAATACCCAATCAAAAATATGCACAGACTAAAAAACAACAAATATTATAATAAAGCAATAAGCCCCAAGAAGCCGTGGTTTACAGTGAATTTATAACAGCTAAGGGGTGTTGTTAGGCACGATGCGAAGCGGAAAACCCCTTTAGCTGTTATAAATTCACTGTAAACCATGGCTTCACGGGGCTTATTGCTTTTATAAAACGGTTATTCCATATACGTGGTAAGGTTTCACAAAATAAAACAGAGCAAATAAAGTGTAATGATATTAATAAAAACATTATTCTTCCACCAAACAATATAGTTCCTCAGAATCAGTTGTGGTTGCAACAAAGTGGTTGCAGAGCAACACACAAACGTAAACAAAGGTGTATGTTTGTAGTGTAATTTACAACAGCTTCGAACTTGGCTCAACCAATCAGAATCAAGGACCGGAACTATCCGTTTTATAACAAATATTTTGAGATATTATAAATGCTGGAGATCCAATATACTTGCTATTTTTTATTTACTTTTTATATTTACTTTTAAGAGTTAAAACACTTCCTGTATTACAGTGGTGTTGAATCTGTGGCCGTTTGGGCAAATGATCCGATATGCTGAGCTCTGGTGCTCATGTGGGCTGCATGATTTTGAGTCCAGCTTGCAAAAAACTCACTCTGCGAACAACAATTCAAAGATTTACCAGAAATATGACTAAAAAAGAGAGACGAAAAAGGGGGCTCATTCATTAACTGCATGTGTGTAAATGTTTTCAGAAATGATGATTCATTAATAAGTTTGTACTTAAAATTATTTGACATTTATGAAAAAAAACTCGAAGCAAGGTTTGTGTTCACATTTTTGTATACACTAAACTATTACACACTATTATTTATACTATATTATTCTTTTGAATCCTGAAAAATGTGTTGTGGTTTATGCAAAAACAATAAGCGGCACAACCATTTTCAGCAGTAATAATAATAAGAAATGTTTCTTGAGCACGAAATCAGCATATTAGAATGATTTCTGAAGGATCATAGGACACTGAAGACTGGAGTAATGATGCTGAAGATTTAGCTTTGCCATCAAAGTAAAAAATGACAAATTCAATGTATTGACATAGAAATCAGTTCTTTTAAATTGTATTAATATTTCACAGTGTTACTGTTGTTACTGTGTTTTTGATCAAATAAATACAATCTTGGTGAACATTAGAGACTTCTTTAAAAACATTAATCCAAGACTTGAATCTTACTAAACTGTTGAATGCGTGACCTAGAAGAATTAGTCTCTGCTTCTTTCCTCAAGGTGATGCTGGAATCATCTGTGTACCTGACTCTGTCGGTGTACTGCTGCTGCTGTTTGCTGGCTGCTATCGCTTCCTGTGCCCTGCCCATAGAGACCACAGGACGAGGCCTCCAGGAGTCCAGTCACAGAGAGTGGGGTCAGGAGATGATGGGACGGGCCTCAGACCACAGTCCTGGAGGGATTCCACATTCCAGCTCTGGATCACAGGACTAAGAAACACCACAGATAGACTTTGTAGAAGAAATTGGGAATCTTTTCTGTAAAAAAAACAAACAAGCAATGTGTGTCCACAAAGGAATAGCATTTTAAGAACTCTTGGTTTTGATTTAAATCTGTCCATTAATGACACATTCCTCCACCAAAGGTTGCAGGGTTTCTTTTTATGAACCTCCAAACCAGAGAAATGGAGTGCAATAGATTCCCATCACATAATACTCCCCTTTTGCCCAAAGGAACTACAACAGGAAATGGGTCGAAAATCGATCTAAAACATGACAAATTGCATTATAACACATGAAATCACTCTCACATGTTCAGAGGATCTGAGGAGCATTTGAACAACGAAAAGATTTGAACCTGAAGTCATGAAGTTGAAAGATAGCACAAGAGAATGTACGATTGCGACAGGTTTAGTACGACAGCAAGTAGAAAGAGGATTTGTTTAATTTTTTTAAGAGGGCTTTACACTCCGGCATTCCTTTGGCAAAGTCATGAGAACTTTTATCTCTTCATTGAAGCAGACAGGATGCTGCTATTAATCAGACATTGCACCAGTTTGTGGTCTGCTATCTTGCTTTTTTCAACCATTTACCCTCCATTCAGTTTTAGACTTTCGCTGACACCAGTGATGTATCTAGTGGACACCAAAGTCTTCATTTCGCACCGCTCAGCACTTGAGAGCACCTCTCTTCATCCTTTCAACCAGCTGCCAACTGCAATAACTCATGTAAAGTGTATAAACTCCAGTTGATCCCTTATAATCAGGCATATCAAAGGTTATTGGATTCTTATCTTAAAAGACAGCTCAATAACAATAAAACAATAGCAAGTGGCTCTCATCAGAGCAGGTCTGTAGGTCACATTTATTTTATTATTGTCTATTCTAGCACATCAGGCTCCAAGCGCATTTTTCAAACAACGGCTTGCATCAAAACACACAACATATAGCAACAATCTTTGTTTATTCAGCTCGACTGCTCAATATATTCGGTTATTTGTATTTCTGCCTTTTCAACTGTACAGTGGGTATGTGCGTGGCATGATGGGAAGTGTGCAGTTGTTCCTGTGAGTGCAGAGAGTTGCCTGCCTTTTGTGTTTTGTGTCTGTGCGCACAGAGCTCTTGCCACTGCACTGGATGTACATGTATGATAACAATAAATTATGCTTCAAGAAAAAAAAAAAGTGAGTATATGTATCTTTATTATAGATTAGTGCAGATAAATGTAGAGAAATGTATGAAATTCTGAAGATTCATTATCTCTTGGGGGAATCAGTGTGATAATTGTTATTAGTGAGAATAAGAATTGATACTGTAGATAACATGTCTAAACATTTGTCCAGAGGCATAGATCTATTAGAGACGTGATTTAGAGTGTGCTAGCAGGCCTTTCTGCTCCAGGATCTGTCCAAAGAGACGAGCAGCTTCCTCAGCACATCCACGATGGATGGTCAGTCCAAAACCACCATGTCCGTAGTTATGAATGACCTGAGGTGAAAGAAAACAGAAATCATGGTGTGTGAACAGAGAATCGTGAATCTGCGGAGCCCTAAAGGGACATCATGATGGAAAAAATATGAGATGGAAGGAAAAATGAAAAAATCATTTACTTTGAACACTTTAAACTTTGCAAAACGTATGTGTTTGCCTGAAAAACTCTAGTGTTTGTTCACAAAACCCTACTCTGTTTTCGCTCATGCTGTATCACACTAGAAGCGGTCTGCACTGGATGTGATAAAGCAGCCACTGCAAATCATTAGTTCTTTGTGTCAGTTCGTCTTACATAGAATATGCATCAGTTTGCGGTCTGAGATTTGTTGTTCATGCCAAACCGCATCCAGTGTAGACAGAATCTGATTTTAATGGGTTTTATAAAGGGTTTATTGTTTTATCGTCCTATGTAGACACAATGTTATTCTTTTGCTTAGTAATATTTTGCATTTACTTGCAATACTTTTACGTTCACTGGCAAAACTTTTGCATTTACTTGCAAAACTTTTATGTTCTCTTGCAAATCCTTCATTTGTAGAAGTAGTACTGTGTTAAGGCAAAATATCTTATTGCAGTAATGCATTTTTTTGTCCCATGTCATATTTTTCCAATAACACGTCCATTTAGGGGCTCTTTATTAATCATATATTATCTCGGATATTTATGTTGTAAAATGGCATCAGATCTTAAGTGTAATGGTCATTCTATGAGCTCACCTCAAACGAGGTTGGTCCAGATCGTATGGTCTCTCTCTCCAGTCTAACTTTGCTGCGTGCGGGCCTGAGACCAGTCCAGTCCTCTACTATCCGCGCATGCTAGAGAAAAAAAACGACATCCAATCCACTCGTGCCACTCAAACAAACACTAATTTAGCAAGGCTAAAATGGCTGAAACTACCTGTAGACTGGGCTCAAGCTTGCAGGCGGCTTCCCAGATTCCTTTATGGTCAACAGAACTGTTCTGCAGATTCCAGTTTCCTACTTGGAAAACTCCACCAACAGTGACTAAACGACTCCTGCGGAGACAAAATTACCTGAGGTAATGTACAGTACATCACTGCTAAGACAAGACTACGCTGCACTTCATTACAAACACAAGTGAAAAATGAGCAACAATGCTTGTTATTACGTGTTATTTTAGTATTACATACCATCCCAGTATTTATTAATATTTCATTTAGCTTTTATTTTATATTTTCAGTTTTCATTTTATTTTAAGTTAAATTTTTATCAATATTGTTGTGCCTTTGTCATTTGTTTTAGTTTTTTATATATTTATATTTAGCTTCAATTAATTTTTTATTTTAGCTTTTGTCATTTTAGCACTTAAAGGGGTCATATGATGCGATTTCAAGTTTTCCTTTCTCTTTGGAGTGCTGCAAGCTGTTCGTGAATAGATACGATCCCTAAAGTTGCAAAGACTAAAGTCTCAAACCCAAAGAGATATTCTTTATAAAAGTTAAGACTCGTCCACACCCTCCTAAAACGCCTCGTTTAAACACGCCCCCACATGTCTACGTCACTGTGTGGGAAGATTTGCATAACGCCACCCAAATGCTCATGCAAAGAAAGAAGGTGTAACCTTTATTCTCGCTGTAGTATTGTTGCCGCCGCCGCCATTACATGGAGACGCTGTGTGTTTCGTTGCGAAAGCGAAACTACTTTGTTTGGTCTTCCAAAAGAGGACACAACTAGAAATCAGTGGTTAAGTTGTATTAACAACACTGTTCCAGAACAGTTCAACCCAAATATTCAGATGTGTTTCAGCACATTTTATGGAGGACTGTTTCCTGATCCTGGGAGAGTAGACTACAATGCCGGCTGTTCTGACTCACAGCCTGTAAGTACGTTTTTATATTTAAAGGATTTGCCACTGACGATTCAAACGTGAGTTTTGAGCAGTGTAGAGTAGCGCTTGTTTGCCGTTTCTCTGATCACAAATGCAGACATGGTTTTATGTTTACGCAGCGCGATGCAAAGCAATGTGTAAAAAGACAGTATAAGTCATTATAATCCGTAATTATGTCCCCACTGGATGCAACAAATGCCTCGTTTATAATGGGTTTATTGGTTTTGTCTCATCACTCCGGGACAGGGCATCACAATATGGTAAGAGGCGTAACATTTCCGTCACACGCTTGAGCTTTTTAGCAATGTCATATGACCCCTTTAAACGTATTCCAGATTGAAAATGCAACGTTTTAAATATTTTTTTTAATCTACTATTTACATTTTATTTTATTTCAGTTTTCTTTAGATTACTGTAAATGCAGTAAAGTGTCATCATGAAGAGGCTCACCCAGGAATGATGTACGGTGAGTTATAGACTCCTGATGAGGAATCATGTGTGAGGATCCAGTGTTTCAACCAGGGAGCGTCTACCTGTTGATATAAAAAACATGAGATCAGAGCAGTTCCATGTAAATGCTTTAAGTCTGATTGACTTTTATCCACTAAACCTCACCTTAATGATCTGTCCTCTGGCTGGCTGGAGCTCAGGATCAGGCTGGAGGTCTCCTGATCGGACACCGGAGCAGTTGATGATAACATCAGCACCACTATCTGCCAACTGAAGCCCATTTTTGAGGTCATTACAAATTACACATTTTATGATTACCTTTTTACAGTATATATGAGGCAAGCATAATCTGAACATTAAATTAATGAAATTAGAGTTAGAGAATCTGCTTATAATATGTTATGTTAAAACTAGTGTAAGGTAATCTTACTGATGTTAACAATCAAGTTAACATATACACTACCATTCAAACGTTTGGGGTAGCTAAGATATTTTAATGTTTAAATCTCTTATGCTGAATAAAATACAATAAAAGCAGTAATATTGTGAAATATTATAACAATATTATTATTGTAATATTATTACAAAATAATTTTATATATTTTAACAACTATTTAAATACATGTTAAAATTGATTTATTTCTGTGAAGTCAAAGCTGAATTTTCAGCAGACATTACTCCAGTCTTCAGTGTCACATGATCCTTCAGAAATCATTCTAATATGCGATTTTTCATTTCTACATATATATTATCAATGATGAAAACAGTTGTGCTGCTTAATATTTTTGTGGGAATGATGATACTTTTTTTTCAAGAGTCTTTGATGAATAGAAAGTTGTAAAGCTCAGTCTTTATTTGAAATAGAATTATTTTGTTACATTGTAAATGTCTCAACTGTCACACTTAATACTGATCTTTTAATTTAAAAAAGATGAATGGAAATGAAAAAGCAATTGCTCAGACCTCTTTAAATGAACCAATCTTCCTCTGATAAAACTTGACCTTTCTTTGTCTTAACCTGCAGAAAACACAGAAATGTGACCAAGGTGTCAAAGATAGTGTTAATCATTGTTAGACCAGAAAAGAGTAACTGATTCACAACAGATTTTACATGACTATATACATGCATAAGTTATTCTGATGCATATACAGTAAAACAGAAGAATAAAAATATTCATGTAGAAATTGGAGACACGCATATATGCAAGATGTCTAGACACATAATATACATGTAATATACAAGTCTAGAAATCTAAAAGATTACTTATTCATTTTAAGTCAAAATGCTTATTTGTTTTATTTTTTTTTTAATGTAACAATTTCTAAGCTTATATTACAGTTTGAATTGTGGACTCTTGAGCTCCACTGTTATATTCTATTTCATTCCAATTCTAATGTTGGTTACTGATTAGATAACGGGAATCTCTCACCAGTCCATAAGCCAGGGCAGGTATGTCTTTCCTTCAATCATGAGAGCGGTGTTAAACCAACCAAAACTGAAAAGATAGAAGGAAAACGGAAAGGTGACATATGCAATTTTACAAAAAGAAATACTACAACCATCAAAGGGTAAAACAACAAAACAAGTCAGCGTCATCAAATTATAGAAATAGCTTGTGATGAGATGCAGTTGATAAGCACCTGTATCCCGGGAACATGTCTAGTTCACGTTTAGTCAGCTGGCGAAAACCCAACACAGCATTTTTAAATGAGGGGTCCTGTTTGAGGGGAGCAGAGAGATTGAGTCATTTTCACAATTATCTCTTGGGTCAGTGAGATGGGTCGGTTACAGTATGTCCCGTGTGTCAGAACTTGCGGTTTATTATATGCCATTCTGTAGATAATGACATTACATGCAATGGGAAGATAATGTTCTTACTGGCAGGGGTTCAGTGCACAGATTGTAGCCAGACTGAAGGAAGATTCCCATTTTCACTGAATCTGGAGAGCTGAGGCAACTTAGTAGATAGTCAAACGTCTCTTTGTTCCATTTACTGAGAAAAGGAAATAAACATTTTACTTGCTGCTATAGATTATACAGCATCTTGGGTTCTTCAGGATAACTGAGAAACATGAGGATGTGCTTCAACCGATTCACTGACACTTTTACTGACACTGAAAGCTCACGTTTCATGCACGTTGCCCTTGTCGTAGAGATACGGCTGCCAGAGTCCAGCTGCCCCGTCGCTGGTGGTGAGTGGAGTGAAGACATCAGCATACACCTCTATGGTGAGGGGGCTGATCCTGCTGTGGAAGTGCTGGTAGATGCTCTGAGCGGTGCAGAGGCCGATGACCCCCGCTCCAATGATGCACACCCTCATGTCTGCTAACTAAATGCAAGTATAAATATGAATGCATGGTTTTATTACATATGTTGTAATGTTGTAAACTGATTGGAGAAAATTTTCAATACAAACCTGTGTATTCTGAATCATCCACCAGTGAATACATAATGCTGCCATATGTTTGCATTGTCATGGGAAAGGCTTAATTTGTTTTATTAAGTCTTATGTCCATAAAAACTCCAAAGAGACACAATTTCAAAGTTAAAATGTATAATGACAACTAACAAGGTTATAGAGCTTGAGTTGTTTTTATTAGTTGAATCCTTGTCAATTGTAACTTAATAGTTAATGCCCTGCATGTAATGTCAAACTGGAAATAATCCACACTTTTACATTTATGCATGTGGCAGAGTTGCATTACACTGCATTCAAGGTATACTTCATATTTTATAAAAGGACAGCTTTACTCACCACACTTTTTTGTCTTGTTACCTCCAAAAAAGAGATCGACGTTGTCCTAAACACGTCCTTATCTTACCTCTTGCAAGAAACTTACAAATTAACTTTTTCCCACGTTACGTAACGTCAGCTGTGACGTTGAGGTGGCGCTATTCGTGTGTCATTCAGTAAAGGCTCAGAGTATGGGCTGGATTCTCAATACTAGTCTTACTATTTTTGCATGGTAGAAATAGTAAAAGTCGTATTCTAGATGCTATTCCCAATTCAAATGTAGTGGTAGGCGTTTTGATTCCTCTGAATTATTCGAATCTTTTTTAATTTGTTCACTAAAAAGATTCGTTTATACACTTGCGTTACATCATTACTCCAGCAGGTGGCAACAACTCTTTTGTGAGTCATTTACTCGAGAAACATTTGTGTTATTGCAGTCCAGGGTGCATTAAAGCTGCAGTCCGTAACTTTTTTGTGTGTTCAAAATTTACACTTTTTTTATAATAAGCGAGTAGTACACCATGAATCAATTATCCAAACCGTGTTTTTGGCTTGTCCTGAATCACTACGGTACACCTATGATAAGTGTTTATATTCGGACTATTTTAGGCTGGTTCGGGTAGGCACCGCTGCGGAGTAGCCCAGCACCTGCGTGATTCGCCATAGACATAAACAGAGAAGTAGCTCCGGCTACAATGTTCTTCCGCAAGACGCACGCAGTTCTGTTTATTAACCGCTAGAGCGCCAAAAGTTACAGACTGCAGCTTTAACTTCAAGGTAAATTCTGTGTATTTGTCAAACCTTATCAAAACACGCCACCTTCACATAGATGTCAGCACAAACATTACAATACTCCTTTTTCCCAGCTCTAGATTTGTAACGTGAGAAGTTGTTCCTATGTGTCCAGACTTGAGAGAGCAATTTTGTGTTTTTGTCTGTGTACACAGAGAGTGTGTATCCTCCTGTACCTTTTTTTCTAATTACCTTGACTTTAACATTTTCTTTTATTTCTTTGATAAAGTAATTTATGATGCAGGTCAGAACTACCAGAATAATACATCCGACTTGTTTGTTATATTTAATAAATAAAACAAACTCCAGTTGATCCCTTATAATCAAGCATATCAAAGGTTACAGTCACCACTATCATCTAAGACGGGTCACCAAACTCGGTCCTGGAGGGCCAGTGTCCTGCAGAGTTAATTAAACACACCTGAACCAGCTAATCAAGGTCTAACTTGGTATACTTGAAACTTCCAGGCAGGTGTGTTGAGGCAAGTTGAAGCTAAACTCTGCAGGACATCGGCCCTCCAGGACTGAGTTTGGTGACCCCTGATCAACTCTTAGGTCAGTGGTCTCAAACTCAATTCCTGGAGAGCCACGTACAGGTCTGCACAATTTTGCTCCAACCCTAATCAAACACACATGATGCAGCTGATCAAACTCTTCAAGATTACTTGAAACTTCCAAGAAGGTGTAAGTTGGAGCTGGCTGGAGCTAAACTCTGCAGAGCTGGGGCCATCCAACAATTGAGTTTGAGACCACTGACCTAAGAGCTGACTCACTAACAGTATATTTTTAATCAACCAATAATGATCAAAATTTTTATTTTTTATACCTAATATTTTTTGTTGTTCCAAATAATATAACTATGTAGAAATAGTAAAAGTAGTATGCTATTCCCAATTCAGGGCGTTTTGAGTCATCTTTTTGATTTGTTCACTAGAAAAATTTGTTTATACACTTGTGTTACATCATTACTCCAGCAGGTGGAAACAAATCTTTTGTGAGTCATTTGTCCCAGAAACATTTGTGTATTTAATAATAAGTAATAAATTATACAGAATAATTATTGCCCTCCGGTTGTACAGGTATGTATCAGAATGTATTTTTCAGGTCTTGGTGTAATTTTTATGTATTTATAAAAATGCAAATGTATTTATTTATTATTTATAAAAATGTTTATACATTGTTTATGTACCTGTTTAAAAAAACTGCTCAAGCACATGTTTAAATTGATTAATGGGTTCAGTTGAATCACAGGTTGTGCAGATTTATTTTCATCTAAAAAATGTTCACATATTAAATATAACGTTTTATATACTATTTTTATATACTGCCTTCATATATGCAATGTATACTGGAACATGATTTGATAGGGGCATTATATGAAGTAGAAGATACCTGAAAAAGTCTAGTGTTCAGACAGTCGAAAAGCAGGATCCCTTGCCACTACAGTGATGTACATGTGCATGATAATAATAAAGCTTAATTGAAAAAACATTAGATCATGCTAGCATCTGATTATTTATTGTACATTATCTGAATAACATGTTGACAATTCAGCTCTGTTATGATTCTGTTATGTTATCTTTTATTTGAAAACTATTAAAGTATAATAAAAAATAATATATGCACATTTACATATATTGTAGAAATTATGTCTAACATTGCCCAGAGGCCCAGATCTATTAGAGACGTGATTTAGAGTGTGCTAGCACACCTTTCTGCTCCAGGATCTGTCCAAAGAGACGAGCAGCTTCCTCAGCACATCCACGATGGATGGTCAGTCCAAAACCACCATGTCCGTAGTTATGAATGACCTGAGGTGAAAGAAAACAGCACGGTGTGTGAAAAGAGGCAAAGTTAATTAGAAATACTGCTCTCTTTACTATGAGCTCACCTCAAACGAGGTTGGTCCAGATCGTATGGTCTCTCTCTCCAGTCTAACTGTGCTGCGAGCGGGTCTGAGACCAGTCCAGTCCTCTACTATCCGCGCATGCTAGAGAGAGAGAAAACTGAGCAAATCTGTGGGAATATGGAAAATTACACCTTAAATAACAGATTTTGATAACATGTGATCTCATACCTGTAGACTGGGCTCAAGCTTGCAGGCAGCTTCCCAGATGTTTTTATGGTCAACAGAACTGTTCTGCAGATTCCAGTTTCCTACTTGGAAAACTCCACCCACAGTGACTAAACGACTCCTGCGGAAACAAACTGAGGTCATGTGCATCTGTCCTGGGACAAGACTACATTTTGCATTTTATAATAAACACAGCTTAAAATGGGAACCTACACAGCATGTTTCCCTTTATCTCTAAATGTCTTTTTTTTTTTCAAATATACATTGACTGTGATGAAAAATAAACTCACCCAGGTATGATGTACGCTGAATTGCCTCTAGACGAGAAATTATGTGTGGAGATCCAATGTTTTATCCAGGGAGCATCTACCTGTTGACATACAGCGCAGAATCAGAGACTGTCTAAAACTCAAAACCTGATTGACTTTTATCCACTAAACCTCACCTTAATGATCTGTCCTCTGGCTGGCTGGAGCTCAGGATCAGGCTGGAGGTCTCCTGATCGGACACCGGAGCAGTTGATGATAACATCAGCACCACTATCTGCCAACTGAAGCATATTTTTAGGTCATTACAAAGTGTGACCACAATCACTTCACAACAGGATAGATGATGTTCACACAGCTCAAAAAAATAAAAAAAATAGCATTGCTACACTTGGGCCACTCATACAGAATATTTTTTGCAGTAAAAAAAACAAACAAACGTGCAAACCTCTTTAAATTAACCAATCTTTCTTTGATGAAACTTGACATTTCTTTGTTTTAACCTGTATAGAGAACACCAGAAAATGACTAAAATGTCATACCTGAAACCTATGTATATATATATATATATATATATACACATACATACATACATACATAGTATGTATATCTTTACATATATGCATACAGCATGCAGCTTCATCCTAGTTTATGCTACTGAGAAGATCTAAGATCTCTCACCAGTCCATAAGCCAGGGCAGGTATGTCTTTCCTTCAATCATGAGAGTGGTGTTGAACCACCCAAAACTAGGGAAAGTGGAAATGGAGATGTAGATATGACACTGAGATCCATCCATTATTCAGATTGAGCTGAAATATATAATATAATGCATAGGTCTGCCCTGTTTCAATTTGAATGTCCAATTAAACTGAATATTACTCCATGTCTTGTACAGGACTTTGACTTCAAAAACAATGTCAGCGATATCAGTTTAAATCAATTATCGAAATAAACAAAGTTGATAAGTACCTGTATCCCGGGAACATGTCTAGTTCACGTTTAGTCAGCTGGCGAAAACCCAACACCGCATCTTTAAATGAGGGGTCCTGTTTGAGGGGAGCAAAGAGACAGCTACAAAATATACCTAAAAATATTGCGTTGTTCAATGAAATGCCATGTCAACTATGTATTTTAAATATAAAGTATTTTTATGAAGGAAATGACAGTGTTCTCACTGGTGCAGTTTCAGAGCACAGATTGTAGCCAGACTGAAGGAAGATTCCCATTTTCACTGAATCTGGAGAGCTGAGGCAACTTAGTAGATAGTCAAACGTCTCTTTGTTCCATTTACTGAGAAAAGGAAATAAACATTTTACTTGCTGCTATAGATTATACAGCATCTTGGGTTCTTCAGGATAACTGAGAAACATGAGGATGTGCTTCAACCGATTCACTGACACTTTTACTGACACTGAAAGCTCACGTTTCATGCACGTTGCCCTTGTCGTAGAGATACGGCTGCCAGAGTCCAGCTGCCCCGTCGCTGGTGGTGAGTGGAGTGAAGACATCAGCATACACCTCTATGGTGAGGGGGCTGATCCTGCTGTGGAAGTGCTGGTAGATGCTCTGAGCGGTGCAGAGGCCGATGACCCCCGCTCCAATGATGCACACCCTCATGTCTGCAGAAAAAAAGTGCCATAAACATGCAAATGTGGCTTTAGTAAATCTATTTGCAGATATGAAAACAAAATTAGGTTTGTATATGTGGGAAAGTACTTTGTACAACCCCACAGGCTTTTTTTTTTTATCAGCAGTTCTTTTTATTTCTAAAATGGATTTCTGCTTTATTCTGCTGTGTAAATAAAATGTAGCCCTTTCTGTTTTAAATATCACCAGACAATGCTGCCACGTGTTTATTCGTGCAGCTGACTTGATATTAATGAAAATTATTTTTGCAAATAACTTGCAAAAACGTGCATGTGTATTTCAGAGAAATCTGCACAACCAAATATTACATACTGTAGGCCTATATGCAAACTTGAAAGACATTATTTTAGTTTTCCTTGTTGTTCACCTTCATGTAAGCTTTTTATGGTTTAACAGGTGATACACTGCATGTACTGTATTACAAAGCTGGAAAGAATTTATTAAAGAAACACAGTTTCACTCACCGGAATTATAAATTGACCAGACGTTATCTCCAATCCTGCAAGCTCTTCTTCACTCTCTC